ACATGTAAAAATGTGAAGGGAATAATAAGCAAATTTTATATGTACATAAAAACCATCAGGGTCTCTTATATGGAATTCCTTTACCAAGTAAAATGTAAAAGTGGTAGTTGTGACATATTAAAAATATACAGTTGCAATTACAAGACAGTTGCAATTACGAGAAGTAGAGTAGCAATTATGAGAAAATCAATTCTGAGATACATTCACCATTACGAGAAATAGTTATTTTTGCGAGAGAAAGTCAAAATTACTAGTTGTCACTAGTGTTGTCACGGTACCAAAATTTCAGTATTCGGTACACTGGAAGAGGATAGCTTTCTGATAGCGCATCAAGAACCGGGTTGACCGGGTACTCGGTACCACCGGTACTTAAAAAAACCTGGTACCGTAACGTTTTCATTTTTTTAGTACCGACTTGGTACCGAAATACCGGGTCTTTTGACAACACTAGTTGTCACAATAATATGATATAGCAGCAGTAACGAAAAACAGATAGCTTTGAGATATAAAATCACAATTACAAGATAGCGGTAAAAACAAGAAATAAAATCAGTAAACAAGTCATTCTCCAGATGTCATGAGGGTTGTGCTGTTGGTATTGCTTTTTAGTTGCCAAGTTATTACACATCATGCTATATTTCATTTAGCACATTTTGCATAATAAGGCTGCTTTTAGATGGTGAAATATGATGTCCTGAAGTGATTGTGGACCTGCGCTAATTTTACGGCAATATTTTCCACTCTGCAGTGCTATTTTTGTCAGATGTTGTTCATTATGGACTTGTTTCGGCATGACCTGGAGCTGTTTGGCGCTTTGCTGTGATTGATTACAGCGAGGCATTTTTTTATATTTGTTGGTCATTGCTGGCACAATTTTGGCTAATAATTTTCCAATGTGCTGTTATATCTAGTGTAGGTTACTTCCACACCCTGAATTAATAGCAAGATGGAATACGCTGATCAGGCAAAGAAGGGCTTACTTCAGCGTGCCATCTATTGAATGCAGAAGATGATCTATGTCTTCACTTCCAGAGACACACCCTCCCGATCAGTGAAAGATGAACCTGATGCATGTGGCTTTGGAAAGGAGATTCTTTTTGGCTCAGGTTTGTGCTGAATTCAGTACCTCAGCCCAAATGACATTCTCCATTCACCGCAAAAGATGTGAGGCATTACTATTGGTAGTACTAGTTACTGACATCCTCACCATTAACAAACAAGTCAGATCGATTTCATTCAGTGCAGAACTCACAATGATAGGAAATGTGAAACTTGTGCGGTCTACATTTGTACTGTAGTCGATAGCTTTATGATACCGATAAGCAGATAATTATTTTCATGTATACTGACACTGCTAAAAGCCTGATATTGAAATTCAATATTCTGTTTTGTCTAAATAAAATTGTTAATTGCTTCAAGTGAATTAGAACATTATAATGTACAGTCTTAAAAAAATAACAGTATGAGGCTAAGTAAATAACAGAATTGTCATTTCTTTTTTGAGGTGCAGGAATGCAGAAATCCTTTGAGGTGCCAAACCTCAGTGTCACTGTCAAAGCCATGGCGATGGGCAATGCACAGAGGTGCAGGTGGGGCAAACAGGATGGCATCACTGCCTGACGCTTCAATGGAATGAAATGTGAGCCCTGTCTGTCTGTGTGGTGGTTCCCTTGCTCTCGTCCCCTCATTTATTGACTCTAAAAATACAAAGCTGTCATTTAAAATAGAGCAGACAAGTGAGCAACGGCTGGCCATCGCATGTCCGGGGGACAGACGGACCCTCCACCCCCCCCAACCAATAGTATCTCCATACAATATGTGTCTGTAAGAATGAAGCATTTGGCCAATAACCCCGCAGAGCGATCTCTGTTGTCACTGCTGTTTACTCTGCTCCAGAGCGGCAGAGTGCAGAGCGTGTTACTTTTCTCATGATGGAAGTCAGAAGACTGTTTTTCTTTATTGCAGGGAGCAGACAGGGTCCCCTTCACTCAGCCGAGGGGTCTATTCAGGAGAAGTTGGCAGGCGGGGAGTTGTTTTTGCAGTGGCGTATTGTTCTGTGTTGCTTCCATAAGGGCTGAAGATTCAATATTGTGGTAATGCTGAGTGGATTTGGCCCAGCTGTGTTCTCCTGTCTGCCATGCTGGATTCTAGTGCTGTCGTATCTTTGTTTTGGTGCCAGGGCCTGGATCTCAGCCAGACCGTTTAATTACATCAGCCGTTTGATGTCTTGACATCTTTTTTTAAATAGAAAGCTGGGTGGGATAAGGGGGCCCTTTTTTTGCGTAGCTTTTAGCGAAACATTTAATCTGAAAATGTGCCGCTGCCGTGTCACAGCTGCTGTCAGTCTGGAATATTTATACCTTCAAACATCTTCATTTACATACAAAGCAGTTCATCAGCTTTTACAACTGCCCCAACATCGGTGAGGTAATGTCTCGAGGCTCTCGAACAATTAAAAAGCGTCCAATATGACGCGAGCCAAAATAATCAATCAAGAGTGAGCATTTCTTGACATATAGAAACCCTTTTTGGCAGCAGTGTCTCCGTTTCAACCTGCCTCACTGGCATGAGAAAAATCCTGACCAAACAGTTGTTTGAAATGGGACTTCTCGGACACCTGGGAAATCCTTCATTTTGCTCTCCTGCAGCAACATGGGGCGCTGAAGTGTGTGGCCCTGTGCTCCTGTGGGAGCCCTGATGGGCCGTGGGGTCAAAGCTCCAGGATGTGCCTTCAGCAACTGATGTAAATTTATCATCCTATCTGAGCACTGTAAGTGAAGGTGGGGTGAATAGGGTAAATTCATCAGCCTCTTACAGAACCAGATGTCCAGGTTGCTGTGTGACAAAGCAGAAGCATGTGCGGCCGAACAGCTACGTAGGACGGCCTCTGTGGCTGTTCCTGTGAAGGGCCTGTGAAAGCCATTTAGGCTTTTAGTGATGGAAGAACACCAGAGCAAATGACACATTTGTTGCCTACAAGCCTTTGTCCTCCCTATTAGGATTCAGGAAGAATTACATAATACATGAGTGAGCTGTAATGTTAGAAGATGGGGCTCTGTGGCAGATTTTAGATGTTTGACCAACAACACTTCTGCTGTGACACAAACTCATACACCAAAATATGTATATTTTTTTCAGATATTTTTAAGCATATTCCAGAATATCCAAAAATTGCCAAAAATATAGCTTTTATAGATTATAAAAGTACATTTACATAAATCTGTTTTCTGATAATTTTGGTTATAAGTTATATTTCCTCATTTGTCTTTTATATACTTCCAATCCAAATACATTTAGATTGTCCCAAATGCATTTTAAATGTATTTTAAGATTGGACATGTATTTTAGTGCCACTTGAATTACAATATGAAGTGCAGTATTTTGTGATTTATGTTTAAAGGAAATATATTTCAATACAAATATATTTACTTAATGCACAGTTTACAAAATATATTTAGCATATATGTAAAATATATTTGGTCGGATAGAATTTTGCCTAATGGGAATGCATAAAATGTACATTCACATTCCAAGTGAACATTCTTCTGACGTAATATTTGTCTATTTTAGAAACAAACTGCTCTTTATATAGAGACCACGGCACGTATGTTTCCATGTGGAATTAAATAATCCAGAGGTGAAGGGCAGAATCAAGCCCTGCCTGGCCCAGACTAGTTCTGTCCTGCTAATAAAAGATATCTCTTTTTAGTTCTGTATACTGATCTCTCCACACCGGCTTAAACCATCCCATTCACGGTTCACACTGCATTTGCCTTCTAATGTCTCCCAGCAGGCCTCCAGTCAAAGACAGTGATTCATAAAGTGACAGGTCTGTCTGCTGCCATGAGGACACAAGCTCTCAGAATCCTGCCTCTCTCTCTTTTCCACACCCTCCCCCCTAAACAGACACAGACTGGGTTAGACTGTCTGGTAACAGTCTATTTTACATGTTAGGGCAAGCAAATTCTACAATAAAGCCTCCCCTAATATCAAGCAATAGGAAAGGATGTCTCAGCCACATTAGTGCAGGAGAGGCAGTAAATAAATCATCTTGTTTGTTTAGATGCACAAACTCAAACCAGTTATGCTTAATAACCTTCATACAACCTGTAAGGGCTTGTAAACACCATAAACATTATTCTTTTATCAGGTAAAGGTCATCAATAATTTAAGCAAAACTCAATTGGCTATCTGAGATTTTTGTCCGTTACCCCAATTTTGCTCCATATGTAAACACCTTTTCCACTATTCTAGTGGCTTATTCAGTGTGATCCCCAGATGATTTTGAATTTTTTTTTTATTCAATTCTCGTATTTCATCTCAAGCATGTTTTTCACTGATACTGTTGTCTCCTTGTTAAACAAGTATACACTCACTTTTGAAACAGCAGAATTGTTCATTGAGGTGGAAATGACTTCATAACTGGTACAGTCAAAAGTTTGATTAATGTTGATGTTATTTTTATACAAAATATTTTTTTTTTTCACATTTTATATTTAAAGATTGAAAGTAAGGGTAAGCTAGAAGAGTAAAACAATTTTCACAAAAAAATAATAAAAAAAACCAGCATAAGTTTCCAACAACGTTTTAATGTGATCTTCATATAACAAAACAGTTTGAATAAAAATGCACTCTGGGACATAAAAGTGGCCAAAGTTGAAGGAACACTCGTAAACGTGGTCACTGAGAAAGCAGCTGTGTGGTGAATTTCATGTCCCATTTTGTCAATTAAGTCATTTCATTGTGAGTTCAGGAGTTCTCCTCCAGATGTGTTGCTTTCAGATCACCACATTAGTTTATCGGCATCAGCCAGATGTCTTTCTTTGGAACTTCATTAGCATTTGTCAGCTCATGCTCCTCAGTTTATTTTCAGACTGTCTCCTTTGGCAAACATATGCTTAAATTGTTCATTTTAGCCTTATCAGCATGTTAGTGAAAAGTGAACCACTCATAGTCACTAACCATGTTTGTCTTTTCTGTGTTTTTTTTATTATTATTAGTGTCTCCAGAAGTTGTGCTGTAAGGCCCCTCCTCCACCTAGACCGGAGTATGATGTTATGTGCATTGGACTGAGCGGTGCCGGCAAGACCAGTCTGCTATCTCGCTTGTGCAATGAGATCAGTGATGGCACGGTACCAACCACAGGTAATATAACATTTCTCCGCAGCTTTATACTGCAGCATTTTTTCAACCAACAAGACATGCTTTTTAATGGGACAAAAATGAGAAACAAATCATATATTTAGCCCTGAATCCTAAAAAGACTTAATCGAAGCATTTATAAGTAATAAAAACCCCAGCTCCCGTTTCGCAAACAAATGTGACAAGTCATTCCAGCAAATCGACTTAGCACACTATTTTTGCAGTGCGTTTGCCTAAACCGCCACACTTGTATTCAGTACATATATCATATCTCCGGCACTACACTTTCCCAGCACTCTGGAACGTCTGCAAAATCTCTTCATTGTCACCATGTGCTTTTCAGCCTCTCCGAGTACTGAAAGCTGTTTAATGTTATTGCTGCAGGTTACCTCAGAGCCTCCTTTTAAACACTACACTACTTTACCAAAGAAAGAGTGCACTTGCGGTTGAGGTCCTTGGGCATATATGTCTTTTTTGAGAACATCTGGGTTCTGTCACACAGTCTTTTTTCCTTGTGACAAGAGTGTTGATTTAATTAAAGCTCTTGGTGACAGGCTGGTGTATTCATGATTATCTTCACCTCTCAAGATGGACGACATCACTTCCGTTTTTACTAACAACAATGGTTCTTTTCACAAGAGAAGACACAATTGTGTCAGGCTTTCTTCGGCACATCTCAACAATCGGAGTGTGATGTATACAGCATGCTAGACAATACACAAACCCGGAATGTGCATCCAATGATGATCGACCTTTGTCTTTGGCGCGAACACCTGTCTTGAGCTGTCTAGTGAAGCAGTAATTACAAAAGCGAAGTGTTATTTGGCAGCCTGTTGTGGAAATATGGTTAGATTAAGTTGACAGAGTCTCTAGTCTGCAAGAACAGGCCTAGATGGAGCTTCTCACCTGCTCATGACATATTTACTCTCACCTGTGGAGCATTTGATGAAACTTGCCTTATGAACATGAAGCTTTGAATTAATGTGGGCTTCGAAGGTTCAGTCACACATTTTTTTTTCAGTTGTGTTAATCAGTACCAAATGGCTGCCCTGTTTGCCTCTGCACGCATTGGTGAGACACTAAACACAAAAAACAATCACTTTGACATGACATCTGTTGTGTTAATGTCAGTCAGAAACCTCATGCCCATTGCCCAAGCATAGACTGTAAAAAAACATGGACGTAGTGTCCGTGACGTCACTCGTAGGTTTCTGAAGAGCATTTTTGAAGCCTAAATTGGCCGGAGCCGACTGCCGCCATCTTGGCAGTGCGTCACCACGCGTCACTCCCGGATAATCGAAAATGGGCAAAAAGGTGGGACATGGGTGACGCGGAGGTGCCTGGTTGCTGAAACCACGCCCGTCTATAGTGACTGCCGTGCAAAGACAAAACACCATAACTTCGTTTTTGGTCGAAAATTAGTTATTGATAATTTTGGGACATTCATGACCTTCTTTATCATGTGTATAAGTATCTTGGAGAAAAGCCCCGGAGAAACCAAGGCAAAACACAGTATAACATCAGTTACCGCTCTTTGACTTTGTTTTGGAACACTCAAATTAAGTTACGGTGCTCTGCATTTGTTTAGCCGTTCATCAATACTGTGCTAGCCTGGAGTTATACGGTATTCTTCCTTTGTTTTACTGCCCATTAAAGTCTGCCACATTTAAATTACGGTGTGACTTGTGTACTTTCATACATACATCTCTCGCCACTTCATTAGACAAACAAATTAGATAGATCGCGATCTAACAAACTGCTCCATATAACAAAGCACTGTAAACAAGCAACGACTAGATAACTTGGCAACAATAATTAATCATAAATAATTGTTAAAGGTTTTTTTATTTTCCTTTTTATAATGCAGATTATTCACTCCGTGCCAGCTGTCAGTCTGGGGCTGCCCACTTTCTTTACGTGTGAGGACTCAAATGCCGTGACAGTGTATCACACATAAAATCAATAACTGTTCGCAATTAAATCCTTTTCCTACCTTTTCTTGTAACTCGATAAAATCCATTGCAATGAACGCCATCGGAGATGTTTAATTCACAATCATTCTGAGCATTATTCCTGATGCCGTTCACATCAATCCACAAGTCGTTCTTATAGGTTAAGCTATTTTAATTCAGTTTGATGTAAAAACAATAGGCTAAGTATGTCTTGCATCTGTTAATGTTAGTGAACATTGCAAATAAATTGGTTGCAAAACGGTATCCACTCACATTTATCTT